CCAATTTTGAGCTCATTTTGTTTTGTTTTGTTTTGTTTTTGTGTGTGGGTATGTGTGCATGTGGTTTTTTGTATTTTTGTGTTGTCTTTTGGATGCTCATCTTATTAAGTCCTCATAAATTAATCCAACTAAATACATATCATCTAGACTCACAAAAAGGAAAGTAAATAAATAGATAAAAACACTCCCACTAAAACTCAACAGAGACAAAATACACCCATTCTTGAATAAAAGACCTTTATCATTTTAATAGAGGTAAACTTTTCCTAATTTCACCTCTTTAATAATAATTAAATGTTGATAATTCCTCAGGATAAGTAAAAAAATTTTCCCCTATTTTCATGCACCAATTGTACCGTAATTTCTGGTCGTTTACCCGCACGGCCGATTACCCGCACTGGCCGATTATTGCATACGGCGAAAAAAAAAGTCAACAGATTACCCGCACTCGTGGATAACCCGCACGTTATGTTATTCAACTTTTTGGTGGCGAAAACGTGACATTAAAGTGATACATTTCAGTCTTTTAAAAGTTGTCTGATCCAACTTTCGAAAACTTCAAAGCGTCTTTGTCGAGTTTAAAGATCAAAGAGATTCAGACGCGCGCACAATTCTGTGTCAATATTAGCATGTACGTTATTGATAAGATTATACAGTAAAAACACTAGCGGCCCATGCCCAAATCTCAACGTTTCATACTTGACAGAATGCAAATTTGTGGCCACATTTTGTGCGAGCGATCGTTCAGCGCCATGTTGATTTGTTGAAAAAAAGCTGGGTGAGTATTAAAACTTGAATTATAAAGTACTGTCGGCGATATTTGAAAAAAAATCGATATCTCCGGTTCTATTGGGCCTAACAAGTCCCTTAAAACAGGAAAATTCTCTTTAGCTCAAGCTAGTGTTAAATGGAAATTTGTTACTGATGCGCCGGATATCTTTGGATAATTTTTGTCACCATCAAGGTTTTGTTTTCACGTGTGCCGATAGCAATTTGTTCGTCGCAATTTATTCGTGCGTGAAATAAACTCGAGTCGGTATCATGTTTTCGTGCCGCTTTGCGGCACTATTAATACAATAAAATTCACTTGAGAGGTGGAAACGCATGTTGGTGATAATTTTTTTCAATTCAACTACCACTAGATTTTAAAATTGTCACATAACCCGCACCTCCCTATTACCCGCAGTGGCGCGCGTTTAATGCAAAATCAACAGATTACCCGCGGGTAAACGACCGGAAATTACGGTAATTATCCTAAACTGTTCAAAGAAATGTTCAAGCTGTGATATCATAACTCACTTCACCGGTTTGTTACAAACCAAAAATAATGACAAGCTCCCAGTTGGCATGTTAGCTCAGTTAGTAGAGCACTGCATCACAGTATGGTATCACAGAGAACTCGGCTTCAAATCCCATACAGGCCTGAATTTTTTTTAGGTCTTATTTTCACTACTGCTTAAGTAGTGTTCATTACTACAAAGACCACTTTCCTATTCATTTCTTACACGCAGTTCACAAACATTATTTTCATATATTTACAATCACTTATATTAATATTAGGATATTGTTTCTTGTGTTCTTTTAATGAAGATGAAGCCTTGTCTGGTAGTCTTCTAGTTGATGAAGGAATCCTACATTAGGTTTTGCACTTGGTCTGGCTTTTTTAACAATCTTCAAAGCCTCTTCCAGTGGCAATCTTTTTGAAGACATCAAGTAGCCAAGAACGACAGTCACAGAACGAGAAACACCAGCATTGCTATCAAGAAATAAATGAGAGACATTTCCATTTTTCCAGATAAATATGCACCCACATCACAGTATCGACCCTTTATACCCAAACATCCAAATGCTTCTTCTCCATACTGTTCTCTATACATTTCCTAAGATGCTGACAAGGAGAATTTGTATAGCATTCAAAGGTTTCTTAAGTTGGCAATCATTTTCTTGATTCTTGTGACCTTAATGTGTGATTTGAGGTGGTATTGTGAGGAGAAATTAGAGGCTAGTCTCTCCAGGACATGACCAAAAAGGTCCTAAAGAGCTGGTTTGCTTTTACTATCTTTGCATTCGAGTTCAGGATATGAAGAACTTTGGAGATTCAAACAATGAACTGATGGGGAGAAAACAGAACATACAGGCTTTTGATTAAAAGAGCCAAACTACAATTCCATTCATTTAGATTTTAAAAATATGGCTTTGGGCCCCTAAAAACTATTGGGACTTTCAAGAATTGGGCTTCAGGTCGGGATAAAGCTGTCTAGCCCTCTGCTTATACAGCTGTATTGTAAAACAAAAATTGTGGAATTTAACTTGAAAAAAAAAAAATCTCAGTCAACACTTTTTTTATGAATTCTGAGTTTCTTATTCTGTCAAGAAAGAAATGATGGGACAAGTTTTTTTTCCTGGATGATCTTTAGCACCTGTGCTGTATACACCCTGCCTCCAGAATGTTCTGCAACTAGTGGTTGTAAGATATAATGTGCGTTATTGAATGAGGTTGGGCCAGACTGGAAAATATTTGTCTCTCAGTCAGGACACACACAACTTCACTTGATCTGTCCATAGTGAGCACTTGCCAAATATTATCCTTCTCCTCTGGTCCTTCTTCTCTTAGAGGCATTAACCCTTAAAAGAGTGACTGGAATCTAACTTCTCCTCACAATAACACCCCTGAATCACACTTTAAGATTGTGAGAATAAAGGAAATGATCACCAACTGAAGAAATTGTTGATTGTTTCACAAATTCACTTTTTTAGCACTTTAGGAAATGTATAAAGAACAGTATGGAGAATATGGACACTGATGTTAGGATGTAAAGGGTTAATTAACCAAGGTTCCCTTACCAGTGAACAAGCACTGCACCACTTTCCAAGCCATTTTGGATAAAATCAAACATCCCTGGGAAGTATTGGCAAATGGGAGTTTCTGGCAAATCCAGTACCTCAACAGTCTTGTAATCAAACTCCTGGAAGGAAAAATTAACATACTTGCTGCTTTCAATGAATGTGCAAAAAGGGATGACCTGGG